AGAGCGGTTTTGCCCTTTTAAGTGGGCTCCTCATATGGCAGTGGAGTGGATTGCTTAATGGTCCTTTCCGGATTGTTTGGCAGAAGAAAGGCCTAACGTTGGGCGGAAGTTCACTCTGCGGATCGCCAGGGCAAAGCCAGCTGGCGAGAGCCCTGTATTTACGTCATGCCGTTTACGCCTCTGTTCTGCGCTCGTTCTTTAGAGCCGACCGGCCCTTGCTACCCTTATCGGTTAAGGCTTTCTGCGTGGCTCCTTTAGCGCTGGACCGTGGGCTGCCGCCAGCCAAGGCTGAGCGCGGGAGCGTGCCGCCGGCAAGGGCGTAGCGGGCGGTAGGGAGGCTGTACCTCAACTGCCTCCTGAGTTGAGGCAGTTTGAGGGTTTTTATTCTTGCCCGTCTGCAATTATTTTTTGTTCACATTGTCTAAGAAAACCTGGCTTTTTGGAGTTTAAAATGAGATGTGCCTGATGGCTCTGGCTAACTTGATGCTGCAAAGACTTTGCTTGCCTTGGTCACATATGCCCAAATGGATGGGTAGAAATACTGCTTTAAAAAAAAAGGGTACTTTTTTTGTTTTTATTCCCACTCCTGTATTTTCCAAGCTCTCCAGAAGGTGTTGGTGTTGATGCATCACAGTAGTAATGGTCTTTTCGTGGAGTGGTGATTTTGTTCAGGCGTGCTGAGTACGGGCTTGCTTTTAGCAGTGGCACCTTCTGATCCCGAAGACTCCTCCGAGCAGGAAAGCGTTGGCCACTGAAGGGCCTGTTAGACCCTTTCTGAGCCTTGCTCCATCTGGTCTTGCAGTCAGGTATCTTAGACGCATGTCTAAAATGACCCAGGAACCCTAGGCAGAGTTGAGCTTTTTCGGGGCGATGGTTCAGTATGCTTCTCTTCTACCTCCTTTTCCCCTTTGCCTTTATGCAGATTGAAGGACTTGCTCTCAGCTGTCTTGATTGCGAATTTTTCCTCCTGGGTCTCTCTCAGTTGCCAGAACGCTGCTTTCGTCCCATGCAGCTTAAGGCAAGGAGAGGTATCTTCTACCTTGTCTTGACCACACTGTTTCTGTTCAGTTTCATGGTTATAGCTGTCTAGTTCTTGCTGCTTGTGGATTAACTTCTGGTACCCCTAGGGTACATCGTGCTCCTTTTAATTGCTTTTGAATCAACAGCAGATGCTCCACTTGAAAGATTTCCGCCAATGTTCTTTGATTGCCCGTGGAGACGCTCATGCAATCATAGTTCCAAGGAATTACCGGATATGTTGACTGTGTTCCAAATGTTACGTCAGTTCCTAAGAAAAATTGAGAAAAATGAAACAAATGCCAGCATGTTTTTTGTTTTTGTTTTTTCCCCATGGTGGTCGTGCAGAGTTTGGCTTGTTTTGCCAGGTTCTTGGACAGATGGTGGCACCGTTGCTGTGGCCTGTGTGGCCAAAGGGGTGCTACCTGTAGGAGCGCCTTTCTGAAACAGGACTTGCTCAATCTTTTTTTGTTTTTTGGTTTTTTGTTTTTTTTTTCCCCAAAGAGAGAGGTTAGAGCGGGGCAGGAAGCGGGCTGGTGGGCGAAGAGATTCGCAGAACTTGGCCAACCCGGCCCCGCGGTGTTGGGGCAGGTGTTGTCAAAACCTTCTGCGTTGTGTGTTCAGGGTGGAAAACGGGCCGCTTTGCCCAAGGGCTTGAAAGCTGATTTGAGAGGAAAGGACCGATGTCAACGTAGGCGAATTCGGTGAGGACAAAAACGATGTAGGCACATGTCGACCCCCAAATCAGTGCTCCTCGTCTCCTGTACTGATAAGAAACGACTGAAAATCCTAGAAGTGGGGGTTGGGGAGGGGAGCGAGCCGCTTTTCGAGTTGATGCGTTTTGATGATGGAGTGGTGCACGCAGTCTGGTTCTCCCTCTCTGTCTACTAGCGAGATCCTCCTTTTCCTTGAGTTGCGTTTGCACTGAAGAGACTTGCCTTGAAAGCAAAAGCTAATAGATGCGGTTGCAAAACCACTGAAACTGCTTATCTGATGCCAGTGCGGCATCTGCCAAGAGGCCCACGCCTCCTGAAATGAATTTAAACGTTGCATTACTGGATCTTTAGGAAGTCCTTCCAATGACTTAACTGCTTCCAAACAAGACCAGAATTAACGTTATAGTTGTTGTTAAGTAGTTTTTTCCCGACGTGTGCCCTAAAGAAAGGAGAAATGGGTTTCCAATTTTGTCAGTTATTTTTGTTGTCTGGTTTATGACCTTTGCCGTGTGCTTTTCTCTCTTATCCTGTGTGGGTGTCTGAGCCGCTAGAAGGTAGTGGTTAAAAAAAAAAAAAATCTTAAAACATAAAACAAAGTCACCTGCGATGGTGTGCGGAGGCACCGACTGTCCTACCGAAGCCAGTGAGATAGGTCTCTTTTTGATGCTTTTTTTGGCAGCCTGCGGTTAGGTATTGGAGAGACTCGGGCTCTGCGGGGCACACCATGGCTGGGGAGGAGGTTAAGCGTGGCTTCCCAATTACATTTATGAAGCTGGGACCTTTTCTCTTGCTCCTCAAAACGTTTTGAGGCAATAAGCGTTAAAACCTGCTCGTCTTTTGCCTGCGCCATAGCGGTAATTTAAGCAAAACGCCCGTGAGACCCTCGCTTTGAGATCTTTTTGTCTTGTCTTTCGCAGAACGTAGGCGTGGATCGGTCCAGGGAAGAAGCGTTGCGGACGGTACCGAACCACCTATAGCTCCCGCTCCCGGCGGCGGCGACCCTTCCCCACCGCAAGAGCGCTAGGGAACGGCTCAGGGCCGCGGGAGCGGAGGAGGCGGCGCCGAAAGTCAACGGAGCTGGGAGCAAGGCGCCTCCCCCTCGCTTTGAGACGTTTTGAATGTGATTCTGCTTCTTCGGAGAGAACCCGTCGTTCTGGATAACTCGCCGGGCCGAAAGGTATCAGTAAGGACTAAAAAGATTTCTGGGAAACGGAGTGTAGCCGGTTTTAAATTTTCGTGTATAAATCTGTAGAGTTTCCGTGGTTTTTAGTGTTCATCTGTGGATGCTGCAAAGTGGTTAATTACCCATGTCAATTTTACTGTCAGGTTTTAACTAGCCTTTACTTTCTACGTGTTTTTCCAAGAGTCCTTTTATTTTTACTGTGAACGATTGCCTAGAATTAGATGGAGGGCTTTTTTGATGGCGTATTTAATATATGTGAAATTCTGCGTTTTGGGCATTGGAAGCTCCATGTTGTAAAACTACTTTGGGTTGGAAAGCGTGGTCAGCTGTGTTATCGTCTGGGTTTTGAGCTGAGCTTAGGTTTGCCAACCGAAACGTAAATGTTTTGGAAAAGGGGAGACTTTCCCCTCTGTCACAACCGTGCAACCATTAGAACTAGATTTCCCTTCCGGAAGCTTTTGCCGTTTCAGCAAGGTTTTAAATGTTTTCCGGACGCTGTATTTCGGACCACAGCGGAGGGACAGTATTAAATAATCCCCGGGGGGACACGGGAGTAAGTATCGACAGCATATATAATAAATCTCAAGAGAGCGCAGTGTCCGTTCTGCTGCTGTTGCAGCGCAGGATGAACGGCTTTTCTGAGAGCTGGAGGGAAAGGACTCAGCCTGCCGAAGGCTAGAGATGCTGCTCGTCTCCAAGCGCTGTGATTTTTAGGTGATTTTTTGGAATGAATTCCAACATAAACTGTATACTTTTCCTTATAGCCACGTTTAGTGCATACGTAAGGAAAGAGTCGAGAAAGGTTTAGTGGAGTTTAACCCTTCTAACGACTCGTGCCCGAAAAAAACAGAGTGAATTCTGAAATTTGTTTTTTTTTTTAACATGGTACACCCACCTTTTTCTTTTCGTTTGTTGGTTTTTAAAAGCCAACGTCCCCCACTGCCCTTCCTTGCTGCCCTTTTATACTTCTCTGAGAAACTCCAGCGCTAAAAGTGGAGTTTGCTGCGTCTGTCGAGGCCGATCCCGTGCTAAGTCGACGTATATTGTGTACGCGCGTTCCTGGACAACCGCGGCAAGCTGGCAGCACGGTGCCTGGTCTTCGTTCTTGAAACGGGGAGAACTACCATTGGCATGTGTGTTTTGGGGGTTTTTTTTAGTTGACTTTCCAATTAATTGAACTTTCGCCCCATGTGCTGTTGATTTATTTGCTCAGTTGCCCCTTTGCGGGCAAGGGCTAAACGTGTTTTGTCTGTGCAGGGTTTGTGAAATAACGTGCTGCTGCTGTGATTTGTTTTAGTAAGCTGATCTCGGCAATAGATTCGGCTCCGGAAGGAAGCCGTATAGCTAGGCTCCGTTTCGGAAGAGGAAAGCGTAGCATGCTAAATGACCAGAAACACTCGCCTCAAGCTCTGCCGTCTAAAGCTTTCTGTACGTGATCCGTGCGTTCAGTCCGGTGTGTGTGAGACCTTTATTAATTTAGCAGTGCTCGTAGCCGCTGTCCGAAGAGCGGGACCACGCGGCGCCGCTCGCAGCCCCGAAGTTCTTGATGCCCAGCAACCGAGGCCGCAGAAGCCTTGCCACCACGTTGGGGGCAAAAACGTGCAAATAGTTTCCCTCCGCCTCGGATTTCACGTGCGTTTCCCATGGGAGAGCGTAGCTCTGTTTTTGGGGCCGGCAGGAATAGCTTGAGGTGCGTCTCCCCCCTCTCCCCTCCTCTGTTTTACCTCTCCTGACTTTTCAGAGGTGCTGTACAATTCTTTAAGGCTAAATGTTTTATGTATAGTAGGGATTTTTATAGGCTGCTTTTGAATATACTGTGACGAGTGTTTTACTAAGTGGACGTTCGGTAAAAAGACTTGTACACAAGTGTAAATAAACTGTATGTTGATACTTGAAGAGGAAAAAAAAAATGAAGTTGCCTGTTCTACTTCAGGAGCTAAATCGTTGGCTGCATCTGATCCTTTCTAGCCGGTGAAAGCAAACGTCGGCGGACCAAGAATGTAATTTTTAAGCGGGCGAGCGGTCGGTTCGGCCCGACGCCTCGCTGCCTTTGCGGGGACACGCTGTGTGAACTGCGTCTTATCTTCGCGGTCTAAAAGCCGCCTCCGTCCTCCCCCGCGCGATGCTAAGGGACCTGGCGTGGACGGGGGAGGTGGAAGCCTATTCCTGGCCTTGAGCGTTTTACCCGCTTTTATTTCACTATGCTCTGACTGTTGATGCACTCGCTGGCTCAGATGCAGTCTTCTGATGGGATTAAACTCTCTTTTCTTACATAGCTGGCCTTCATCTTAATCTTTTAGGCAAATGTAACCCTGTGACCTTTGATCCAAGTAATAAAGATCAAATGCTAGAAGGTGCGCGGAGCCGTGTTTCTTTCCTCGTTGGCTTACGCTAGCGAGAGCGCCGGTAACGTCCGCAGATTTCCAGCACGCTCAAGGGGGCGAGGATCGCGCGGAAGCGAGCCTAGGAATCGAGGTCAACGCGCTCCCTCAGGCGCGAGCCGCTTCGCAGATGCAGCCATCCATCCATCGGCCTGTAACTGAAGTAGCAGAAGCTCGGAAACTGAAGGAAAAGTTGGACGGGGCTTTCACATGAACTCAAGTCCGGGTTGGCACCAAATGGAGAAGACCGGTAAGACTTAAGACTTTTCATCTAAGCTAGCCATTGGTATTGTAAGACGTTTGAGATCTGATTCACGCGCGCAAAGCTCCCGTGTTGTAACGCTGCCTTCCAAATGCTGCTGCTTTTTGGAGAGCGCCGAACACCCCCAGGAAAATGCTGCCCTCCTGTGCCTATTGGCTGGTACTGGTTAGGTAGAGCGTATTTAATCTGATGCTACAGGCGTGTATGGCTTATCTTGCCTTTCTGAAGGGTGAAAGCAAAATTAATTAATATTTTGGAGTCAACGGCTCTCAAATTTTAATATCATCTTGTTCATTGTCTTATACGCTTGGATAGCATTCACGTGGGGTAGCTTATATCTTTTATGACCTATTCAGTGGTGGGTTTTTTTGGTCAAGTCTTGTTTCAAATACAAGTTAGTGTGTCCTTGTTTTTTTTAAACTCTACTGTGTATTTATGTGCGTATGAGGGTATGAGGTTTTTTTTTTGTTTTGTTTTGTTTTTGTTTAAGGAACGCTTTATAAGGCTGCTGTCTGGGCTTTAAAAAGGATTATTTCTTTAGTGCGTCCATCTCGATGGGCTTTGAGGAATTGGTGCTCATCCAGACTGAGCTGCTTTAGCCAATCAGTGTCCAGCAGGTGGCCCTCGGGCACAGCGATTCGGCAGGCAAAGTCCCCAAAGCCGTATGAAACGCGGGGCTTTTACTGCTGGTTGCTGATGCCTTGAGCTGACTTCTGTGGCAGTCGAGGTCCCCACCGGTAGAACCGGTCGGCAGCAGAGTTGACATAAATGGTTACCCTGGCATAGTGGTGCTGCTGCCAAGGACTATATTAATTGCTCCTGGGAGGAAATCATCCCTTTTTCTAGGTGTCGTGTCCATTGGACGGTCCAGTGCAGCGTGGGGGCACGTGCGATGGCCGTGGAAGATGCTCCAGGTAAGTCAGTTGAATAGTCTCTGAAAGAGCTGCTGGAAGAAGACCGTGATCCCTCCCGCGCAGGCTTGGCACCTGCTACTTGGCCAAAGGACAGCTAAGTGCGGTGAACAAGCCCTCTTGCCAGCTACAATTTTTAGGGTTGCTTCCTGAGGTTCGGCCTCATGTATAATTTCATAGACAGCAATGCATTTCTACTTTGGTACAAGCGTCCAGCACCCATATGCGTGTGCAGAATAAACTAGCGCTGGTAAAAATCAAACTGGTCTATCCAAAATTGCTACTTACAGTCTGACTAGTCTAGTCTACTGTCCGGTTAAATGATAGCCAAGTCTTACCAGAGTTACTTGGATTATAACGATAAGGTAGAACTCTTCATTAGAGGACAAACAAAGCAATCGCTCCATTTTTTTCTGAGTCTCCAGCAAGTTTTAGGGAGAAGGAGGGAGATGGCTTTCTCCTGCTTCTACAGCAGAATTAGTCTGAAGCTACCCACAAGCTACAGGGTGCTCCTTAGACGTGACAGTTTGTGCAGCTGTGCTGGACAGACTGATAATGCACCAGCTGATTTTGCCTGTCTGCTCCGTAGTTGACAAAACTGAAGCCTTTGCAGTGGAGTTAGCAGGCACAGAAGGCTTTTGCGAGAAGCCTGAGGGACTGTAAGACGGTGTCGTTCTTCAGGCTGTATTTTTACCAGCCCATTGCAAGCAGAAGAGTTTCTGACCGAGCGTTGCAGAAATTACATTGTAGTTTTTTCCTTCTCAGTTGTGTGCAGAAATAGTTTTTAAAAAAAAAAAAAGGCGCTGTATTAAAAACTAGCAAATAAAACTGTGGGAGGAAAGGTTTTGTGCTTGGCAGTTGAACCCGGTGTTCCCGTTGCAGCAGATGAGGTGAGTAGTCCTAATGCTCTACGTAACCACTGAACTGAGGGTGTGGGTTATTTTTCTTTCTGCTAAGACGTTGTGATCATATACTACTTATTTCTATTAAAAGCAAGCAGAATTCGACAGTGGGAGTGTATATTCCCAAGCAGTATGCGGCTGCTAGATACTTAGGCCAAAATATCTTATGCCTAGGCTTCCCTGGAAAAAAAAAAGTATTTGGAATAATCAGAGCAGCCTGGCACAGGGGGAAAGGTAGAGCATTGTCATAGCAGGTCTGGCGCTTGCGAACACCTTCCAGCGATGCTGCACAAGGCAGATTTCACTGCAGCTACTGTAGCATGCATTTTTTTTAAAAAAAAAGCTCGTTTTTGTAGGAGGGAGAAGTTTGCTTCTTAATGGTTCCTCAATCTGTAATGCTGTAGATTTGAGGTTTCTATTAACTATAATAGCTAACTGTTATACCCCCTACCCCCAAGGGTAGGCCTGACTCAGTTTAGCACGGGGTGCTTTCGCTGAGAGGGACTCCTTTAGATTTAGGAGAAAGTAGTTAAGAGCAGCACAGAGCTAACGCTTTCCAACAACAGCTAGTGTCTTAGGCTTAGGACTGTTTATTCTGTGAATCTCTCCTTTTGCCTAAGTCTTCATTTTGGTTCATGTTATTCTTTTCTTAAAAGATGAGGGCTTACAAATTAACATGTTTTGCTCTCGTTTAAAGGCAACTGGAGTTTAATTGAATGTTTCTAGAAAAAAACCCCCATAAAGCCACAAATGAAAGTTTAATGTAACTTTCTTTTAATTGAAGACAAATAAAAGAACCAAGGGCTCAAACACTTTTTAAAAAGACATCATCTGTTCCCCAATGTCTTCTCTCGAGCAAAATATACAGCATATTTATATAACATAACTACATTCAAGTAACCAAACAATTTACATTTTCCCAAATAGAGAAAATAATGCACATGATTCACATCATACCTTACACCCAACCATGCATAAAAACACTGCCAGTAAATCAGCAGTTACACATAATTAATCACACTACTGTGTATTAATTCTGAAATATTGACAACATCGTTGGACTGTGTGACACCTAACACTTGAAGTTCTCTGTTTAAACTTTTAACCGTGCTTTAAAGTCCGACTCGAACAGAGGCTATTTGTCTAAGATCTGTTCAAATTTGGGGTTAATAAAAGAGAATCCAGCAAATGCAGACTGATCCATGGACTCTATCAGGTTCTTGTCGCTGTAAGATAATCTTGGCTTCTCATTCAGAAATTCTCTGTCAAAGTTGTTGTAGTCACTTGCTGACTTCTGTGTTGAACAAAGAGGGAAGACAGTTTGAGGCAGTGGCTGCAAACTTTTTTTTTTCCTTCAAAAACAAACTGCTAACTACAATAGCTTAGCAAACGATATCTCGAATCCCTGTTTAAAAAACAATAGCTCCTCTATCGCTATACCTGTTGTAACAATGGTATAAAATTACAGCTTGGCAAGTATTTATTGTTAGCTGAAAACAAATAGCATTGACTAGCTTTGGAAAAAGAACCACCTGGATTTGTGATAAAGTTTCATTGAATTACCCAAAGGTTCTATACAGTCAAAAGTGGTTCATTTTAAGCCCAACTCTTCTTGATATTAACCAGTGTTTTTAAACTCTGGAAAGCATTTTTAAGTAAGTTCTTTGCTTGTTCAGAAAAAAAGCCATACTGATGCATTGTGACAGCTGCTTGGCGTTTGGATAAAAACGTAACGTTTGTGTATGTTTCCTGAGAATTCACATAACTAAAGACGACCAAGTTTTCCATTCCAAACCTCCAAACCTCACTATCGCAGGGTCCTTACATTTCCAGAGTACTTTCCTGTGGGAACATACTCTGTGGACCTCCTGTTCTTGAGCAGAGCAACTCTCCTGCGTCGAGTACGTGAGCATATTTTAAAGAGACTGTGTTACCTCTGGACCACTTTATCTGTACCAGTATGGGAGGAAGGAAAATGGTTTGGGATTTTTAACTAATTGAAGGTGTGATGTAGCAGCAGTCGCCCACATTGACACACAGAATATCAGTAGCGTGTGCTCTGTTCTTTATATGCTTTTCAGGTAACATTAGCCGCATGCACTACAAATAGTTCTTGCAAGGTCAGTCGTAGTTTAGAGAATGCATCTTTTGGCCCAGGTGGAGACTCTAAGCCAAGTTTGAAAAAGCACAGAGTTAATGCTTATACCGAGAATGCCTGCAGACAAATTCCAGCTGAGAAGCTCAAAGGTATCGGTCCTTCGCCAGTGTGGCAATATAGGAGAAAAAAAAAAGCCAGTAAACTTATCAACACTGCTAACTTCTTGAGGCATACAAAGTGCTGCATTTCTCCAATGATTTAAAGAGCTAAGAAGGACGGATATCAACTGTTAATTGATTTGCCTGAAGATGATATTAGTGAAGAGGTTCCTTGAGGTTGCATAGGAAGACGGTCTTAATAGTACAACAGGAAGATTTGGGGGCAAAGGAGTATAGTGCATCTTTTCATAACTAGACTCTCCCAAGAGCAGTGGGGTCTGAGATGGACGTGCATCTGGTTTATAAAGGTGAGAAAGAACTGCAGCGGGATTGTTTGGGTAAGTAACAGTTAGAAAAATGACCCCCTCACCCCAAGACTGACATTTGCAATACTTCTGTGGGAACAAAGAACAATACACATACCACTTTTGGCCTGAAAGGAGGGTCTACCTCCCTTTTCTCTAGTGCTGCCCAGTTGACGGTTTTGAAGAACGAATGGTCTCTGATGTTCCCAGTGACCCCTAGTCGTCTTGTTGGATCCCTTTCAAATAGCTGCAAAACAAGATACTCTGTGAAGTTTTTACCTCTACTCAAAAGGTAGGTAGGTGGCACTAGAAGAAATAGTGTGTATGCTGCTAAAC